CAGCAACTCTCATTATATTATAGAGCTGAAATATAAATTGAAGAGAATGAAAACAATTAATGCAAGCCTCAAACATCTTGTGAAACAAAGTGACATCACAAATCAACAGAATCAGATTGTTAATAACAATCTTATGAAACAAAATACTCAACTTCAGAAAGCACTCTATAAATTGAAAGTAATATAAGAAAATCTGATAAAAAAGCTATAAGATGAGTTCAGATCTCAATAGACAGAGAGAGTGCAATTTGAAGATACTATTTCACTTCTGAAGAATGAAATCAAGCTGTAAAAGAATTAATTAAAAGGAAATACAAGTATGTCTGATTAGATATATCTGATAGCAATCTCTGAATATAAATATTGTATTAGAACTAAAGATATTTGATATTATAATATCAATTCAGTTGTCATTGTGAATTGCTCCTTCTCAGTAAAATTAATTATATACTGTTAATTGTATTCTTTATATAAGAAACATACAAAAATAGCTTATCAAAGCATTTAATTTTTTGAACATCACACAGAATATAATAAATAGTTAATTTAACTTAAATAGAAAATAATTGTAGAGAGTAAATGTAGAAATGTAGAGAATCATTTAACTACTAATTCACAGATAAATGTAAACTTTATTGTCTGTATGAAGTTAGTTATAGTCAGAGATTACTAGATTGAGTGTCTACAAGTCTCACATTTTGCTTGACAATGTTGAAGTAGAAGATAATATTTATGATGAATACTCAGAGTCAAAAGAGAAGAGTAAACCCTTTCATAATTATAGAGATATTATAATCATATCAATGTCTTACTCTGTTCAAACTATAATATATTTCTAGTCAAGATACCACTATTGTGGAAAATAACATCAGTTAAGAACATCACACAACTTGATTATATTATCTGATAATATAATGATATGACTGTCAATATAGAACATCTTCTTTTTCAACTTCAAGTCTCAAAATTCAGCTTATCAGTAATCATTGAAACTCTTCTTTGTGAGATCAGACAACTTCAAAAGAAGGTGATCTATTATTAAAAGAGTCAAAAGTTTATAATGATTCTATTTGAAAGATTATAAGAGTCTCTTTGAATTCTAGAGAAGATGTTGAATAAAATATAATACTGCAATGAATATAAAAGAGTCATCAGATATCTCTTTCAGAAATTATATAAAACATTCAATGTATTGAAAATGGATATTCAGAAGATGTTCAAAAATATGGCAGATAAACTGTATTTTCTTGAGTATTTCAGAATTACTCTGAATAATACAAAGAAACAAGATTTAAAAATTATGTAATCATTCAGTCAGCTGAATCATTGTATTTAGTAATTATTTCTCTATCTCTCATTCATCTCTGATGCTATTGAGTTATCATATATTAAATATCAAGATCAAAATCTATATCTTTATAACTAGAATAATGATTCATCACTGAGTATTTTCTTAGAAGAGTGTTGAAATATAAGCAGTTTGAATATGAAATTGTTCTGAATATTCAAACCATTTTACTGTATGATTGAAGATGATGCTGTAGTTAATTCAGTCTTTTAAAAATCATCTACTGATTCAGCAGTTCTTTGTAAATTTATATTCTATTCAAATATAAATAAAAGAAAGAAAGTTTTTGATAATGATGAGTCATACTATATTTACTGAAGAATAGTCCTCATGTGTTTTATAGTAATAGATAATACTCTCATTATCAGTGAAGATAACTAAGACTCTAAGACTGAAAAGAGAGTATAGTTGATGAATTTTATGAAACACAGTTTTTCTTCATCTATCAAAATAATCTCTTTTATTTTTTGATGAGAATATTGATGAAATGAAAATGAGCTATTGACAGTTGAGTATCAGAGAATTGTGAGATTGTGATATTTTTTGATTGCTCTCTTTATATAAATTTCTGAAATCAAAAATAGATTCAAATTAATATTTATATTGACAGATTCTTGTTCATATCATCTTTATTCATTCTCTTTTTCTTCAATATAAATAACTGCATCTGATATCTGACTTTATGAATGCTGATGATAGTAATGAATTCAATATAGATCTCAGCTATTGAAATTGCTGATATCTTTGTATTATTCTTTGAATATTATCTTATCTATTGAATTTATTGAAATCTAATACTTTGTTGAATTCTGCTTGACTGTTATCTTTTTAAATGACAAATTTTATTCTTCTGTTTCAAATACATTATGTACTCTTTTATTTACCACTGATATCAGTTTCTTCTATTTATAATTTATTTTTCTCTTCTTGCATGCATTATCTACTGAGCTCTGATGAGTGTCTGCAATATTCTAGAAGTTCAATCACTGATAGATACTGAGAATAGAGTGAGAAATCTTTTTATAATCAGCTTGTTTCTGCTTCTTCTGACTGACTGACTAAGTTTAGTTGTAGATAGCTTGAGTTTGTCTTTGTCAATCTATATTCAGATGCATGATATATTTGATATTATAATATATATTCAGACTTTTATTCATATATTGATATCTGTAAGAATTTACAGATTTAAAATTGATAGCTCTCTGCAATTTTATAATCTTCTGATAACTACTTTCTGTCTTTTCATTGTTGCTATATTGACAGTTTTCAGTGTATCTCTGCTCTGACTCTCATCATTTTTTTGTTGATCATCTGCTGCTGATTTTATGAAATCTTTATTAAATTCTATTATATTTTTACAGATTTTGCTACTGTGATACTTTGACAGTATTTAAATATCAAAAAGTTCATTACTCAACTCTATCTGACAGTCAGTGTGATACTGTTCTTCATTATAATCTTCATTCACTGAATTCTCATCTTATGATGAAATATAAATATGAAATTAAGAAAGTTTGACTCTAAAGTCTATATACTCTTCTGTCTTGATTCAAAAGATATTCTCTGTAATAATACTGCTGAAATTATTATATCAGTAGCAAGATTATTTAAAGTAAGAGCTGAATACTTTGTATATATCTGAATACTGAATATGAGCTGTGAAATAATTCTGCAGATTCATCTCTTTCAGATTATCTGATAAGAAAATAATAAAGATAAAAAAGTCTGCAGTATTTCTCTACTGATGAAAAAAAGAAAGAGATTTACTTTGAAACTGTTCAGACTGAATATCAAAGATGTATTTATTACATAAATTGATGACTTATATGAAAAGTCTATATCAGTGAATAACTACAGTTATATTCTTATAATTGCCATCAGAATTAATATTGCAGCACAAATTTCATATATTCATAAAATTCTTGAGCTTGATAAGATATCATCAGTGAAAGATTGAAATGTATTTGTAGTCTGAGAAGTTGATAAGAAAAGTGCATCATTCTCTGCTTCTCTATTTATTTCTGCTAATATTAATAGTAGCTGATTTTAATTAAGTGTATAAGTGAATGAACAAACTTCTAGAGAATGATATCAAGAACTATATTAGTATTCCTCCCTTGAAGCTTTTAATGTATTATCATAATCATGATTCTAAATATTTTGATTTGATCTATATCTATCTTTCCATCTGTATAAGTCAGAGACTCAAGAGAAATATAATCAAATCTGAAAAATCTATAGAGTTATAAATTCTCTGAAAATAATGTCTCAGAAGTTCTGAGCACAGAAAGGTAAAAAGCTTATAATAGATGAATTGCACAATTTCTTTCTTTCAAATAGCTAACTTTTTACAGTCTCTGCAGATAATGATATTCAGAACACAGTAAGAACTCTGATTTAAGAGAGAATAAATAATTCAGTAAATATTATTAATCTGAACTTTCAGTTATCAGTGATGAATAAGAGTGGCAATTTTAGAGTAAAGACTGCAGAAGCATCAACTGTGTAAAATGTATTTCTTCATATTTTAATTTATCTCTGATTCTTATTGATTTCATTTCTCTGTCAAGTGCTGAATTCTAAATATATAAATAAAGTGGTGTTAACTATATGAATAAATACTTGATATAAAAATAAAACAGTATTCACTCTATATCTGTATGAGCACTTGTTATTATATTTCTAAAAACAGAAGTTTACATATTTAGTAAACTAATTTCATTTAACTATTTAATCATTTTATCTCTTCTTTGTTATTGCATTTAAAGAGTTGGACATCAAATCTTAAAAAGAAATGACACTAATAAAATACATACTTTTAGAAGTTACATTTTATACTTTTCTTTTTAAAATCTTGAGAGAGTAATCTGAAATAATTATAGTATAAGATAAGAGAAAATCTTTTACTGTACTACAAAATGACTGTTACATCTGCAGACAGAATGAATTTCTTACAACTTATCTACAATCTCAATCATTACATCAATTTTTGAAATCAAGCAACATCTGATATCAGAGCTGTCATCTAAAAATATAGAGAGATCAATACTGATTCTGTCAAAAGAATCATAAGTAAAAATCAAGAGATCAAATCATGAAATAGAGAAAGATCAATTTCTGAGCAGTATAAACAGCTTGATCTCTGTGTATTCACTATAATAGAGAATTTAATGAATCTTGTGTTTCAATAAAACAGCATTGAGAAATTCAATCACACTGTGTTATTATTAAACTGATATCTGATGAGCAATCAGTATTCAATCAGCTGAGGCTTGACTGAAAATATAATAGTAAAAAACTCAGAGAATATCAAGAATCAAGAGATTCATTAAAACATTGTCAAAGACTCTCAATAAAACAGTGGAGTTAATCTCAACAGAGACACTGAAGTAAAAAGTACAAAAGAAAATATAAACAGTGATAATGAAAATAAGAGAAATGAATACTTTGCAAATACTATTCTGTAAGAATATATTGAAAATGAAGATTCTGAAGAAGATAAGCTTTTCTTTTTCAGAGACTTATTCACTGAAGATTTCTTCTCTAAAGTCTTCTTTTTCAAAGACTGTTTCTCTGAACATTTCATCTCTGAAGATTCCTTCTTCTCTGAAGACTCTTTCTTCAAAAATTTCTTCAAAAACTTCTTCTAAAACTATTTCTCTGAGAAGTATTTCTCTGAAGACTCTTTCTCTGAAGATTTTATCTTCAAAGACTTCACATTCAAAGATTTCTTCTTCTCTGAAGATTTCTTCTTCTCTGAAGATTTCTTCTTCTTCAAAGATTTCTTCTTCTTCAAAGATTTCTTCTTCTTCAAAGATTTCTTCTTCTTCAAAGATTTCTTCTCTGAGAAGTATTTCTCTGAAGACTTTTTCTCTAAAGATTTTATTTTTAAAAATTTCATTTCTGAAGATTTCTCCTCTTCTGAAGACTTTTTCTCTGAAGATTTCATTTTCAAAGATTTTATCTCTGAAAATTTCTTCTCTTCTGAAGACTCTTTCTTCAAAAATTTATCTTCTAATAATTTATCTGAAGATTCCATCTTCAAAGAAGCAGATTTCTCATGGAACAAGAAATATTAATTTAGAATATATAAAAAGACAAATATCTATTATCTTGATAAAATCTGCTATAATTATGTTTAGATTTTCATAGTCATATTCTTTCATATAAATCATATTCTACAATATTTGCAATGCTTTAATGTCTTGTTTTTTGCTTTTCTTTTTTTTTCTTTTCTTTGTGTATTTATCAGACTTCTTACTGCTCTTATATTACTTATTCTTCTAGCTGTAATATGATCATTCATCTAATGATTACTTTCATCTAACAATTGTGGATTTTGCATACTAAATTAAGAATGCTTAGATACATAAATCTCAACAATAATCATATCAACTTTATATATAATATGTAATTATATATATATCTATATAGTAGATTATACAACTTCTAGATATCAAAAATATTATTATATGCTGAGTTATAGACTGTATTAGAAGTTGATTTTCATAATAAATTATATATATAAATTATATATGATGTATTCACATTATTGTATTATCATTTGCAGAACTATATGAAATTTTTTAATAATAATTTAATTATTAGAGAACTATATAATTAGCTTGAATTCTGATTTATGTATAAAAATACTCTCACAGAAAAGTGAAAAATAGAACATCAGCATTTCAACTAGTTAGTTAATATAATCACTCATCAATTCATAAATATAGTTAATAATCACTCTTATCAAACAATCACCATTTCTCATACAAATTGTCAAAATTATCCACCTCATATATCAATAATTTTTAATTAGTCTATTTTCCCCATCTTCTCATAAATTTATATAAATCCCATCTTAGATGCTATGTATTCTCAGATGAGATTTGTATAACTATTACAACTAAATTTGTATTGAAAATACTAAATTCAATATATAATAGTGATACTGATAAATTGTAGTGTAGAAAAGAGTAAAAAATTATAAAAAATTTTCTGATTGTCAATTATATCATCATCAGCTTCAGATCATCTTTAAATTTAATTTTTATTCAGAAAAATACTTCTCTCTGTGTAAAATTTTATCTTTTATTGATTATCAGACTGAAATACTGATCACTCATCTTGATAAAATCTACTTCTTATTAGAATCAATGAAGTAAGATAACTTGTACTGACTGTAAATACTAAAAATATATACTTCTTGAGATCAGTCAGTTATTCATCAAAAAATAAATATAAACTTATACTGAGAAGATCTGGTATTGAATCAGCATCTATTATTTTATAAAATTTCAGAATCTCTCTACTTCACTTTCTTGAATTCTTTAGAACTAAGTTATTTGAGTTTATATAGCTATTTTCAGATTTTATGATCTCTGTTATTATTTATTCAACTGCACAGATATTATACTATTTCTGATTATAATAACTGAGTATATTAGATCTGACATCTTCTGTCTCTCTTATTAGCAAAGATCTTTGAAAGTTTAGAAGTGAGTGATGTATCAATCTTAACAACTTTAAAAAAAGTCATAAAAACATTGCTGCTTTTGATTCCTCCATAACTGATATATAATTCTCTGTGAATATATGAAAGTTCTTGAAGAATCTGTTACAAAACTTAGAATGTACTCTATTTTAAAGTTGTATTTCTTCTCACCTTCTTACAGATAGTGGCAATATGAGCCTCTTTCAAGCTTATATATAAATGTAGATGGTTCAAGGCAAGATCCACTTGCTCATAAATCAAGTATACAATTTCTTTATCAATAAATACAGTCTTCAGATTGATAAAATTTACATATAAAGTTCTGATCAAGCTTTTGATAGAGTTAACTGTTATATTATAACATATTTTAACAGTTATCATCAAAGCTATCTGTGACTTTTCAAAGATCAGATATATACTCCATGATTTCTCTTCTTGAGTGAATTGCTTGTATTGTTGTCAGAGATTGTCAGTTTGACAGAAATTCATTTCTTGTTATTTAACTTTCTCTGAACTCTCATTTGAAGACTGTTTCACAGTAAGAGAAAGTGATGGTGACTTCTGTCATTTTTGCAGATATGATGGCTGCTCACAAGAGATTTGAACTTTTTTATATTCATAATTCATGAGAGAAGATACTTTCAAGAGCTTCTCTTCAATATCAAAACTTATTGAAAAGACAGTATATTACTTCTCTGAAATATTCAACACCATTCTAATTCAACTGAAGTAAGAACTTTCATCAATTATTAACAAAGAAACAAGATTTAACTCATCTTATTAAAAAAGAATAAAAGATAACTTTGTTATTTTCTAGCTATATTTAAAATATTACTTTCATTTCTGACTAACTTTATTTTTTGAATATTAATATTTTCAATTATAGCTTAAACTTCTTTCACTACATTACTTATAAATTGTATTTAAAGTAATAACTGCTCAATATTATTATTTGCAGCTCATCTTAAGTCAGAATCTCTCAGTATCATAATTACAGCTCAGTTCTATCAACTTCATCTTTCTTAAAAGTCTTTAAAAATTTCTTATATAATCTCATCTGTATCATCAATGAATATTAAAACTTTAATTTTTATTTATATTATCTCTATTCTCTGTCTTCAATCTATCTATCATCACTCTTCTGAAGGCATCAGACTCTCATACACTGAGTTAAAGTCTGTTAATATTTTATCATTATTATAATTCAATCACAGCTATATTATTCTTGATTCTTCTGCATTCAAAAATGTCATATAATTTGATGAATCATCTACTGATCTTTCTTTAATTAGCTTATTTTCTGATGTAACAATCATTTCATCTGATATGTTTTACACTGATTTATTCACAAAGTCAAGTCAGATATAGTCTCTGATAAGTATTTCTGCAACTTATTTCACTCACAGATCTGTAACATGACTTTCAATTAGCTCAAATTCTTCACTGTTTTTTAACACTGCTATTTATATAGTAGCAGCTCAGCAACTGTTATTGTGAGTATCTCTTTTATTACAGATTGTATAGCTGTTTAATATAAAACTGTGTATAAAGTTTCAGTTTGTACTGTACTTTGAGATTAAAAGACATCTTGTTTTATATAAAATGATTTTATCATAAAAATAATTTTGCAGTAATTATTATGCAATTTTTATACTGTATCTATATAATATTTGTATTCACACTCAGTTTTTTTAACATTCATTCTAAATAATATATATGAAATATCATATATATCAAAGCAGAATATGCAGAGAGATACTGAAGAAAATTTGATTTTATACTGACTAGTATTATATAGTTATATATACATAGAATAAGAGAAATCTCTTTTATAAAGTCTAGCAAGAGAGTGCAAGCCAGTCTTACTTTGACTACATTGCTTTTCATCTCAGAATTTGAAACCCATGATATCAAGATATCATTAGTTAACTCAAACTCAGTTAACTCAAACTCAGTGTTGAAACTAACAAAGTCTGAATATTGACTCAAATACTGAATATCAATAAAAGAAATTGAATTGATTATTCTCACTTCAATAATTAGTTAATTATCAGAGTTAGAATAAGCAATTCAATCTTATTTAATAATATTCAGTATTTGATTATCTCAGTAAAACTCAGTTACTTTATTTTAAACTAATCTGATCTGAACTACTGTCAAGTTCTTCTAATATCTGAATCAATCAACTATCAAGAAATTTATACTAAATCTAAATGAAATATTCTCAGTAAACTCTTTGTAAAGCATCTGAGAAAAAACAGTTTCTGTTTATTAGCAACACAGAAACAATTTGCTCTAATCATAATATTTAAGATAGAATCACTGTATAATCTCACTTATAGATCATTTCTCTATCATATTGAAGAATTAATTTTTCAATTTTCTATTGATTGAACTAATTTTTATTCAAAAATATATATATTGTGAGTATGAAGTATCATATTGAAAACTGCTACTCTGATTTTAAATATGGAAACAATTTACTAACTTTTCAGCTATAATTATATCTAGTCACTTAATATTTTGATCTTGCTGTCAAAATATATATTCAGTCATTAGTGGCTCTAGTCAAAATACTGAGTGTATTTTCTGACAACTTCTGATATTTTTTAATAATATTCAACAACTTCTGATAACTTCTGTCAACTTTATATAACTCTTAATCATTTCAGCATATCAATTTCTGACAACATCTGAGATCTTTCAATAACTTCTGAATCAATCATATAACATCTCTTTTTGACAGCTGAATCAGACAACTCTGTTGAATATAATCAAAAAAGATTAAAGAAAACACAAAAGTCAGCAACAACAGTGGCTTCAAAAACTATTATTAAAGCAAATACTTTTCATGAAAATTGAAGACATGTCATAAGTTGTTATGAGCTACACTGAATTTAAAAGTATCAATAAGTAATAGAATATTATTGAGTATTGTCTTCAATAAATTCTTCAAAACTCACATTCAGATTCAAAGTGCACTCTTCAGTCATATATAGCACAAGTCTGTATACTCTGATGTATGATATATAAATATAGCAACACTTTATTCATTGTCAGAACTGGCTATAAAAAGAGTCTTATTCTTCAATTCTATATAATTCTGATAGAAAAAATAATCATTCAACTGATTTCTCTAAATAAGTTTGATAATCAGCAGATAAGTAATATAGCTCAGTTTTTCTCTATCAATTTTTATCTGATCAGTGTCAACAATCTTCAGAGAGAAGAGTATTTACTTATATATATTCAACAGTGTGAATATACACATATTTTATTCAGTTCAGAGTAAGTGCTTTTCAAGCAGTTTCAATGTATTCTTCAAGACTCTACTTTATAAGAAAAGATTGAGCTTGTAGCTATTGATGAGTGTCATCTTATCACTCAGTGAAGTGAATTTCATAGTCAGTTTGCCAGGCTGAGACATCTGAGATTGCTTTTATATAAGAACATTATCTGATTTAACTGTTCTGCAACTCTCAGCAGTAAAGATGAAGATATTATTCTTCAAAATACTGAATTTTATTCTATTGATGATAATTCAC